AAAATGCCCTCAGGTGAAAACAAAAAAGAACTCAGAACTCAATACAAAAAACAACCAATCCAATTAAAATATGGACAGAGGCCCTGAATAGACATTTCTCCAAAGAGGACATATAGATGGTCAATAGACATATAAAAAGATGCTAAGCATCACTAATCATCAGAGAAATGCAAATATAAACCACAGTGACATACCACTTTACACCTATCATAATGGCTATCATCAGTAAATCAGCAAGCAAGTGCTGGCAAGGATGTGGTGAAAAGGGACCCCTTGATCACTTTTAATGGGAATGCAGATTGGTACATCCACTATGAAAACCAGTATGGAAGATCCTAAAAAATAAAAATTGGAACTGCCTTGAGACTCAGCAATTGCATTTCTGGGAATATATCCAAAGGAATCATAAATACTAATTCGAGAGACTATATGCATTCCTATGTTTATTGCAGTGTTACTTACAATAGCTAAGATATGGAAGCATCCCAAGCACTCATCAGTAGACAAGTGGATAAACAATTTTGGTACATATATATAATGGAATATTACTTGACCATAAAAAGAATGAAATCTTACCATTTAAGAACAGCATATTTGGACCTAGAGGGTATTTATGCATAGTGAATTAACTCCATTAGAGAAAGTCAAATAGCATATGCTTTCACTTACATGTAGAGTCTAAAGAGCAAAATAAACAAATAAAATAGAAACACTCAGATACAGAGAGCACACTAATAGTTGCCAGCGGGTTAAGGTGGTTAGGGGACTGGCTGAAAAAGTTGAAAGGATTAAGAAATACAAATTGGGCCCTACCCAGTGGATAGAGCATCGGCCTGTGGAATGTAGGGTCCTGGGTTTGATTCTGGTCAAGGGCACTTGCCTGGGTTGTGGGCTCAATCCCCAGTAGGAGATTGAGCAGGAGGCAGCTAATCAATGATGCTTAACATTGATACTTCTACCTCGCCCTCTCCCTTTCTGAAACCAATAAAAAATATATATATATTTTTAAAAGTTTTAAAGAAATACAAATTGGTAGTTATGAAATAGCATGGAAATGTCAAGTACAGCATAAGTGATATAGTCAATAATATTGTAATGCCTCTGTATGGTGCCAGGAGGGTACTAGAAATATTGGGGAAATGCTTTGTAAAGACTAATCACTATGCTGTTTACTTGATACTAATACAAAATAATATTGAATGTAAACAGCACAACTGAAAAATAAAATCTTAAAAGAAAACAAGAATATTAAATGAATTCCAGAAATAATTCATAAATTTTATTTTATTTTCACTTCTTTTTTATCTTTATTGTTGAGAGTATTGCACATGTCCCCTTCCGTTTTCCCCCATTGCTCCCCTCTACAAAGTTCCCACCCCACCACAGGCTTTTACCACACTATTGTCTGTGACCATGGGTAATGCATATATGCACATAGTAAGTTCTTTGGTTAATCTCTTCCTGCCATCCCACCACCACTACCACCACCATCCTTCCCTCTGAGATTCATCAGTCTGTTCCATGTTTCCATGCTCCTAGTTCAATTTATGCTATTCATTAAATTCCACATATGGGTGAGATCATGTGATATTTGTCTTTCTCTGACTGGCTTATTTCGCTTAGCATAATAATTTCCAGGTCCCTCCATGCTGTCTGAAAGAGTAAGAGGTCCTTCTTTTTACAGCTGCATGGTATTCCATTGTGTAAATGTACCACAGCTTTTTTATGCATTCATCTGCTGATGGGCACTTGGGCTGTTTCCAGATCTTAGCTATTGTAAATTGTGCTGCTATGGACATAGGGGTGCATACATTCTTTCTGATTGGTGTTTCAGAATATATTCCTAGAAGTTTGATCACAGGATCAAATAGCAGTTCCATTTTTTAATTTTTTGAGGAAACTCCACACTGTTTTCCATAGTGACTGCACCAGTCTGCATTCCCTCCAACAGTGTATGAGGGTTCCTTTTTCTCCACAGTATCACCAGCACTTATTGTTTGTTGACTTATTGATGGTAGTCATTCTGTCAGGTGTGAGGTGATACCTCATTGTCATTTTAATTACATTTTTCTGATGATTAGGACATTGAAACCAACATCATAGTCAAGGAGCAAAGGCTAAAAGTGTTTCCCTTAAGAACCAGGTACAAGACAGGGATGTCTATTTTCACCACTCTTATTCAACATAGTATTGTTAAGTTTGAGCTACAGCAGTCAGCCAAGAAGAAAAGATAAAAGGCATTAAAATTGTCAAGGAGAAAGTAAAACTGTCATTATTCATAGATGACATGATATTACAATGGAAAATCCTACAGAATCCACAAAAAAACTACTAGACTTCATAAGTATATTCGGCAAAGTAGCAGGATACAAAATTAATATCCAGAAATCAATGTCATTTTTATATACCAATAATCTCTCTGAAAGAGAAACAAAAAAAAAATAATAATAATCCCTTTTATTATTGCAAATAAATAAGCAAACATAGGAATTAATTTAACCAGGAAGGTAAAAGACCTGTACTCGAAAAACTACTTACTGGACATTGAAAAAAGAGATAGAGGAAGCTACAAATAAGTGGAAGAATATACCATGTTCATGAATTGGAATGAGGTAACATCATTAAAATGTCCATACTACCCAAAGCAATCTAAATCTACAGATTCAGTGCAATCCCTATTAAAATACCAATTAGATATTTCACAGAACTAGAACAAATACTCTAAAAATGTATATGGAACAAAAAACCCTGAACAGCTGCAGGTATCTTGAGAAAGGAGAACAAAGTTGAAAGTATCAAAAGACAATATCAGGTTATACTACAAAACCATGTTTTATTGTTAATCAAAACAGCCTGGCACTGATACAAGAATAGGCATATAGATCAATGGAACAGAACTGAGAACCCAGAAATCGACCCAAGCCATTATGTTCAATAATATTTGACAAATGAGGCAAGAGCATATAAGAGAGTAAAGAGAGTTTCTTCAATAAATAGTGCTGGGGAAGTTGGACAGGTATGTGCAAAAAAAAAGTGAAACTAGATCACTAACATATCATACACAAGAATAAACTAAAAATGGATAAAAGACTTAAATGTAAGTCGTGAAACCATATAAATCCTAGAAGAAAATATAGGCAGCAAAACCTCAGACATCTCCTGTAGCAGAATTTTTACCAATAAATCTCCTAGGGCAAGAGAAACAAAGGAAAATAAATAAATAAATGAGACTACATTAAACTAAAAAGCTTCTGCACAGCTAAAGAAACCAGCAAAATGAAAAGGGAAACCCACAGTTGGGAGAACGTATTTGCCAGTGAAACATCTGATGGGTTAATTTCCACATTATATAAAGTGCTCATACAACTTAACAAAAGGAAGACAATCTAATTTAAAGCTGGGCAGAGGACCTGAATAGACACTTGCCCAAAGAGGACGTACAAATAAATGGCCAAGAGACTTGAAAAAATGCTCAATAATTTATTGTGCACCTTTCTAAGCATGATGAAACCTCAGTGTGAATCATCCCTTTGTCCAGTGTATTCACATTGTGTACTAGTACACTTCCTGCCTCTAGTCACTTAATAGCCATTTGGTTATCAGATCAACTGTTCAGGTATCACAGTGCTTTTGTTGAAGCAACCCTTACAGTAGCCTAATGCTATATTACAATGCCTATGATCGTTCACCTCAGTTCATCTCTTTACATAGGCATTGTCATCTCACATCATCACAAGAAAGGTGATGAGTACAATTATATTGAGACCACATTCACATAACTTTTATCACAGTATATTATTATAATTGTGTTATTCTATTGTTAATCTCTAGTATAAATTAAATTTTATTTTAAGTATGTATATACAGGGAAAAACATAGTATATATAAGGTCCAGTATTATCTGTAATTTCAGATATTCTAATGTGTCCTCAAGAGATAAAGGGGGACTGCTGTATTCCATTTCTGAGCAAAGCCTTATTTTTCTAGATTTAAAATTGAGCTATAATTTTAATTTTTTTGCAAATTAAATCTTTATTTAGTGGTATATGAATTTAATGAAGTTTTCTCTATCGTTTAATATTCTGATTTTTTTTGTTGAATAGTAGAAATCGTTTATTGACAATGAAACAAAGATTGGGGAAATGAGCCTAGATAGGCTGTTTTGGTTCACTAAGAATTCAGAGAATAAGGGGCCTTGAGAATAGATTCAGGGAATGTGAACTGCAGCTGCCCATTGCTATCCTGGTTGCAAGCCTCATTGGGGTCCCTTAGAGCTTAGGAGATGCATTCCTGTGGGGGAAAAAGGAGGGGCAGCATGGGGGTGTGCTCTTGAGAGGGAGAGCAAGCCTGATTCTTTTTATTATTAATAGAATGGATATATGAAAAAATTAGGCCCAAAAAAATTCCTGTTTGCTTTTTTTTAATCACACTGTTTCTAATATATAGTATCAAAATCCTAAAGTATTGAGAGATCAAACAAAGTATAAATTTCAATTTTTACTATTTTAATTTGTAGATCAGGTGAAGACTAAATATGTCATATAGTGTTTTGAATGCCTGGTGAAGATTCTGAATAATATGTTTTAATATGTGGGCACTGAGTATTTTATAAAATATTTACCAAAATTTTATTTTAATGACATATGGTTTTTATCCTAAGTCGGTTTCTATTCCAATAAAGTGGCTGTAAAAATAGAAGTTAGCAGTCAACTAGAAAGTGATGTTTGTGAATTTTCACCCAGTCGGTATGGCTCAGTGGTTGAGTGTCAACCTAGGAACCAAAACATGCCCCAATTGTGGGCTTGTTCCCCAGTATAGGGGTACGTGCAGGAGGCAGCCGACTGATATTTCTCTCATCGATGTTTCTTTCTCTCTATCCCTCTCCCTTTCTCTAAAAGTCAATAAAAACATATTTTTAGATGTTTGTGAATGTTAGATGTGCACATTTTTTATCTTTTATTGTTTTGAGGAAAATATTTTTCTTTTTCTTTTAATTTTAGTAAGAAATCCCAGAAGTGGGATGAAATGAACATCCTGGCGACATATCATCCAGCAGACAAAGACTATGGTTTGATGAAAATAGATGAACCAAGCACTCCATACCACCGGTAATGTTTTGTAGACATCATTCCTTTTATTTACTTGTTTACATTTTGCATTTAATATGAACTTCTGGATAACAGCTAATTTGAATTTGTTTTTATATGTGTTACTGGAGCACTAATTAATAATCCAACTGCAAATTTTGTATAATAATATAACTAATATTTAACTTTAAAATGGGCTTGTTTGCTTCCAAAATAGAAATCAGTGACTTACTCAAGTCTCTCTTTGAAAACAACTTCACAGATATTAACTATTTTTTAACCCATTCAAAGATAAGTGGTCATTACTACTGTTTGATGTCCTTTTTTACTTAAATAATATTGTAGTTTAGATAAGTGCATTGTTATTGTTGGCAATTTTGAGTCTTCCAAAATTTTTAAAATAATAGTGTGTGTCAGTGATTAGTATAAGACAAAAATAATGTGCCAATAAGTATTTTGAAAGGATGGCATTCTAAATAAGTGGAAATACCTAACGCAGAGTATGCCTTAACCTGTATCGAAAAAATAAAGATTTTCAGAACTGAAATATTTTGTCATTGAAGTATAAGTTTATAAATCCAGAAGTTATTGTTAAAATAAAGTTAAGAAATTCTGTTTTGAATCAATGGATGAAATCTTTGGAAGAAGCAAAGTTGAGATAACTTGATAACAAAACTGTAAAAAGAATAAACATGATTTTGGCAAGGGTAGAAAGAAATAAGGAAATGGGAAATACAGATACTGAAACACTAATACTAATAAACTTGAGGGAAGAAATAGACATATTCTTTTTTTTTAAATATATTTTATTGATTTTTTTACAGAGAGGGAGAGAGAGGGATAGAGTTAGAAACATCGATGAGAGAGAATAATCAATCAGCTGCCTCTTGCACGTCCCCTACTGGGAATGTGCCCATAACCAAGGTACATGCCCTTGAGCGGAATCGAACCCGGAACCTTTCAGACTGCAGGCCAACACTCTATCCACTGAGCCAAACCGATTTCGGCTAGACATATTCTTTATAAAAAGTTTATATTGTTTTTAAAGTCTAAACCGTTTGTTGTACCAGAAGCCAAAGTCAGGCTTTCTTCCTTTTCAATAAAAGTAGTAGACTATTTTGTAACTACCAATTTGTACATTTAATCCCTTCACTTCTTTCACGAGGATATAAAAGTACAGTATAGGGAATATATTCAATATGTATGGTGCTAGGGGGTACTGGAAATTTTAGGGGAACACTTTGTAAAGTATGATTGTCTAACCACTATGTTGTATACCTAAAGACTTTAGATCTGTGCTTCAAAAAAATAGCTGTACTCATTATTTTTAGGCTTTATATTTAAAATATAATAAATCAGAGTGGTAGATGAACTGTGTTCAGCACAGCTAGTGGTGAACCTGAGGAGGGGCGATGAAGGATTAAAGAAGACACACAAGAGAATATAGTTGGGTCCAGGTAGATCACTGTGCCTGGATGAGGAAACAATGATATAGCCTGTAAGCCAAAGCTTTATTTAAATTATAGTCAGATCACACAAAGCAAAACAAAGGCAAGATGTTTACAGTGTTCTTGCGAATTTCAAATCTGCTTCTTTCTTGGTGTTACCATTCTCTGAACTCTATCAAGCTTTATTTAGGTAGCACTTGCTGTGCCCCCCCAGCCCACTTCCCTTAGCTACCTAGGATTTCAGGGTTAGACTATAAGGTCAAGCTTACACCATAGCTTTTTGGCTATAATTGTGCTGGAAGGCTTTGCCCTCCACGCTGGAACTTGTATATGGCTTTGCCACAAGTCAGTCCAAGGCTTGATCCTGTCTGAACACTGCAGCCACTCCACAGGTAGATATTCTCTCTCTCTCTCTTTCTCTCTCTCTCTCTCTCCCCCCCACCCTCCCTCCCTCCCTTACTCATATTCTTCCTCTGAGAGTCTCAAAAGTTATTTGGTCCCTAAATGATTGAGGCCGTGTGTGTGTACAGATGTATGTGCTTACATTCTCTTGATGCTCAGATTTACTAGCTCTTTTTTTCTTGAAGAGGTTTTTATTTGTTTGTTGGTTTTTAAGATGCTTTTTATAGCCATGGCCATTGTTGCTCAGTGATGAGTGTTGGCCCACACATCAAAAGATTACGGGTTCGATCCCTGGCCCCATTCGAGCACATGCAGGAGGCAACCAATACATGTGTCTCACATCAGTATTTCTTTCTCCCCCGCTCCCCATATACTCTCTCTGAAAAGCAATGGGAAAATATCCTCAGGTGAGGAATAAAAAAAAAAGTAGGCTTATAGTGTTTGTATGGAAAATAAGACAATAAATATTTTGTTATTTTTACCTAAACTTATGACTGCATAGATCCCTTTGTCTCATCTTCAGGTTATGTAACAGTATATATTCTTTTTTAAATTTTTTTTCTTAATCTTTATTGTTCAGATTATTATAATTGTTTCTCCTTTTTCTCCCCTATAGTACCCCTCCACCTGGTCCCCACCCCACCCTTTGCCCTTACCTTCTTCCCCCTACCCCCATCCCCCCGTCCTCATTCATAAGTGTATGATTTTTGTCCAGCCTCTTCCCATACCCTCCACACAGACATCCCTTTCCCCCTGAGAATTATCAATCCCCTCCTATTCTATGCCCCTGATTCTATTATATTCACCAGTTTATTCTGTTCCTCAGATTTTTAATTCACTTGACTTTTAGATTCACTTGTTGATAGATATGTATTTGTTGCTCATAATTTTTGTCTTTACTTTTTTCTTCTTTTCCTCTTTTTAAAGAACACCTTTTAGCTGAAACCGGTTTGGCTCAGTGGATAGAGTGTCAGCCTGTGGACCAAGAGGTCCCGGGTTCGATTCCGGTCAGGGGCACGTACCTTGGTTGCGGGCACATCCACAGTGGGGGGTGTGCAAGAGGCGGCTGGTCGATGTTTCTCTCTCATCGACGTTTCTAACTCTCTATCCCTTTCAATTCCTCACTGTGTAAAATTAATAAAATATATTAAAAAAAAAAAAAAAAAAGAACACCTCTTAGCATTTCATATAATACTGGTTTGGTGGTGACGTACTCCTTTAACTTTTCCTGATCTGTGAAGCTTTTTATCTGCCCTTCAATTCTGAATGATAACTTTGCTGGGTAGAGTAATCTTGGTTATAGGTTCTTGCTATTTATCACTTTGAATATTTCTTGCCACTCCCATTTGGCCTGCATGGTTTCTGTTGAGAAATCAGCTGATAGTCATATGGGTGCTCCCTTGTAGGTAACTGTTTTTCTCTTGCTGCTTGTAAGATTCTCTCTTTGTCTTTTGCTCTTGGCATTTTAATTATGATGTGTCTTGGTGTGGTCCTCTTTGGATTCCTTTTGTTTGGGGTTCTGTGCGCTTCTTGGACTTGTAAGTCTATTTCTTTCACCAGGTGGGGGAAGTTTTCTGTCATTATTTCTTCAATTAGGTTTTCAGTGTCTTTCTCTCTCTCTCTTCTTCTGGCACTCCCATAATTCTGATGTTGGCATGCTTGAAGTTGTCCCAGAGGCTTCTTACACTATCTTCAACTTGTTGGATTTTCTTCTCTTCTTGCTTCTGCGGAGGAGTGCCTCTTTCCTCTTTGTATTCTAGCTCTTTGACTTGTTTCTTGCGTTCTTCTAGTCTGCTGTTGGGTCTCCGTATAATATTTTTTCTTTCAGTCAATGTATGTTTAATTTCTAGTTAGTCCTTTTTTCATATCCTCGAGGGTCTCGTTAAGTTTATTCTAGGAAATTCTTGAAAAACCTTATAATCGTGGTTTGGAACTCTATATCCAGTCATTTGTTCTCCTCCATTTCTTTGTTTGAGATCTGTTTCCTTTTCTCGGCATTTTCACTGTTTCCCTGAGTTGGTAGGGTCGCTTTGTGGGTCTGGGTGTTCTATTTGGTTCAATGGGAGTGCCTGATGTGGACACTCTTGATGTACCCCTTTGTGGACTGTGTGTACAGCCTTGTTGTAGTTAAGTCTTGATTGTTGTTGGTGTCACTGAGAGGAGTTGACATCCAGGCCAATTGCTGTGAGGACCCGCTGTGTCTATAATGGAAGAATTGCTGTGCTGGAGACACGTTTATAGGGGAGGACTTGTTCCTGTAGGGCTTTGGTGCTCACTGAGTCTCTCTTGAACATGTCCTTTATGAGAGTAGTTGAAATCTGGTGTCATCTCACACTGACCACTAGATACACTAGTTTCCGGATCTCCAATGGGGTGCAGTTCAGCTATGTCTTGAGGCCACCCAGCAAGAGCTACCACAAGAACTACAGTTTTGTCCTCTTTGCTTGGGACTTGGCTGTTTTGTTGATGAAGCTGCAATTTATTTTGTTAAGCTGCCACAATACAGACCATTTATATGCAAAAGCAGCTGTGTGGTGCCTGGGCTGGTCTGTAGAATGTTTGGAGCAAGGCCTCAGGGTGGGTCCTCAGAGTGGGGTGGGGTCTTAGGACATCACTAGGCTGGGGCATTGGCAAAAAGCAATGGCTGCTGGCAGCCTTCTCTGCTCTACCATGTTTCCAAGTCCTCGCATTTCCAAGTCCTGGCGACCCTGTGACCCAGCGCAGTAAACAATGGTTGCTGCACGCACCTCTGCAAGAGAGTCGCCCTCACTTTCAGACCTGATGGCCGACAGACCAGCTTCTCCCCGTAGTCTGAAGCTGGATTTCAAAGTGATCGGGAGCTTGTTTCCCTTCTGGTTGAACAAAAGCCATGTGCCCAGTCGCCCGCCACCAGCCCAATTCACATTTCTCCATACTTAGGCTCCTCCGCTTTTTAGCACTTGCGCTCCTTTCACTTTCAGCCAGCCTTCCTGTGTTTTTGGGTGATAGACATCCTGTATATTAGTTGTAGTTTTGAAATTGTTGTGCAAGGCGGCAGACCAGTTGTTTGCCTATGCTGCCATCTTGGTTTTTTCCCACTAAACATAACAATATATATTCTAAAACAGTGAGGTGGTTTTGTTTGTTTTTGCATTATTTGTGTGTTCTCACCCCTACTGGATGGAATAATCGAAGTATTTTTTTCCGATCGTTTGAATTTTCAGTATTTATCTTCATGGTTGCAGTAGTGTTGTTTTTTAATCATTCACTTGTAAATATTTGCATTGGATTGAAACTAAAACTTCAAAGATGACAACAGACCTATAAATGTCTTGATATTTTAAGTAAGTCAATTGGATTATATTTACCTTGTTTTCTGCTTGAGAAATTATAGTACTATTATTAATTATGATCTGCTTGTTGTCCTAGTATGATAGGTGATGATGAAGATGCATTGAGTGATTCAGAAAACACTGAAGCCCTGACCCCAGATTCGTTAGCTAAGAAGTAAGTACTGATGACTATAAAGCATTTTCACTTATGCTGTTTTTAATTGTGCAGAATTAAATGCATTTTACTTGTACAAGTATAAATAAAAAGCATGTGCTAAGTATATCTGGATTTTTCATAACAACTTTTATAGTCTTGTTTCTAGATTAAAATCAAGGTGTGCAGGTGACAGAACAATTAGAGTACCAGAGCCTAATACACTGGTGGTGGTTTTTTTTTTTTTTAATATCCCGCCTCCTGAGTTTTAACGGTGAATGTGAGAAAGGCAAAAATAACTGAATTTCTAAACAAAAGCTCTATTTCTTTGCTGTTCATTGATTTTTTACCCTCCAGTCTTCTTGTTGCATTTTGGTTTCTACACTCATGCTCACTCTCTTGCTTTTTTACTTTCTTCATCAAGTTATAGCTAGTAAGTTAGTGATGTTTTAATGGTACTCAAATGTTAATGATACTCAAATGTTATAGCTAGTAAGTTAGTGATGTTTTAATGGTACTCAAAAGTTGAACAAGCCACTGAGTTAATATAAGAATATCAGAGTGCTGATTTCTTTGCAAATGATTGTTTAGATTAGCCGCTGCTGAAGGCTCGGAGCCAAAGTATCAGGTTCATGTACAAGACAGCAGTGAAGATGAAGACAGTGACCTCTCACCTGAAGAACAAGGTAGTTTATTTCCTGTTCTTCTTTCAGCATTATGCTAATAATTTTTGCTTAAAATAAACCCATTATTTGGAAGATGGTAAAATGGTTGTTGTTGTTTTTTGGAAAGTAGATAAGGGAGATTGGGAGCAACATTTTTAAATTCAAATTCTACTTATGTGTGTTTATTGTATTGACAGTCTTTCCACCTCAATATCAAGAATTTGGGAAAATATTACCATCTTTAAAATAATTACTGGTGTCCCTTTGTACTTTTTTTAGTGCTTGGCATAGAGTAGATGCTCAGTAAATATTTATTAGATTAATGCTTTTAGAGTCATTGAGTGTTTGGGTGGTTTTAAAGTGGATAGAAATAAAAGCTAATTTGCCAGTTGTTTGTGCTTTTTCTGTTTTAAGGCAGAAAACCTTAATGATCCCAGATAGTTAGACATAGTAAGAAGATTTTTATTTATTAAGTTCCATCATACAAAAAATGATAGTGTCATAGGAAAAAGATAATCTCTCAACAAGGATGGAAAGGCCTTTGTAGTCCATATAGCACATATACAGTTAAGGCATTGCTATCTACTCATTGTTTCTGTTTTTACAGTAACAGTGGTTATGTATGGAGGTTCAGAGAGAAGGAAGATATTTCACCTTGCTTTATAAACCTTTTGAATCATATGAATGTAGAATCTTTCTAAGGATTAAAAATTGTTTATATAATTTAAACTATTTTTAAAAGGAAAAAACCCACAAGCCTATGTATACAAAGAAAAAGATGCAAGAAAGACCCACATACCTTCATAGAAAAAGAAAAAAAAGAGAGTAGCAGTGTACTCAGAGCTTTGAAATGTGGGGACAACCTATATTGTAAAAGAAGTTCAGAATCGTTGCCATAGGCAGCTGCTAAGGTATAATTTGCGATTCCTTCCTTACATCCTTAGAATATAGCTTATTCAATGAAATTATGATGGCCTGAGCCTAATTGTTGTATAAAATAGAAATTTTACAAATAGCATAATCTCAAGTTGTGTTATATTTTTTGTACCCACAGTGACTTCCTGACTTATATTTTCCCACCATATATCCTAAAAGGCCCTTAAAAGGGTTTCAGATAGAAATTCTATATCTTGTTTTCTTCATTATTCTCAAAAAACATGATCTATTGAAAACAGGAAATTTATTATTAACCTGTACTATATTAACAATTTTCATTAAGGATTTTTTCTTTAAATTGTACTTCTGGGAATTAGCCAGCAGGGGGAACTATTGAGTAGTTGGCAATTTCACATGTTCAATTTCCACTAGTAGAGTTAATGATATTTATATATGTATAGATGTTAATTACTTATAAACAAATTACATGTCTTAAAAAGCCTTGTTTGTTGACAGAAATTTTTAGAAAAAAAATGTCTTGTAACTGATAGGATAGCAGTTAAGATACTGGCTATGGAGTCAGACAGACCTAAGTTTGTACTCCAGGTACATAAAGACATAACTAAAAATTTAGTCATGAGAACTTGGTTTTTTTAATGGCCTTTTTTCCCCCCATCTTAATTTCATTCTTCTTTACAATATGGTACCTGAAAGAGTGAAAACAAGTTACAAAATAGTCTATAATCAGAGAAAAAAAAGATACTTGGCAAGATCTTTATGGAATGCTGAAATGGATGTTGGTCTCAGAACTTCTTTGAAAGTGATTGATGAGTGTGATATGAACTGTAAATGCCTGTAAAACATAAGTATACATGATGATAAAAACTTGGAATTAGAGGACATTGAGAAAGTACTTTGAATAGCAGTATTCTGAGAGATTTCTATTTTTTGGTGCCTTTTTGGCATTAAAATGTTTTTATGAATGCCATAATAAACTATGGTGAATGAGTTTGAATGCTCTCTTGTTTGAATAAATAGTTGACAATTTTATATAAACCCCCCTTTTTATTTTTTAATTTACTGGTCTAAGAAATTTTAAAATCTTAGAATTATTTCTTCATAAACAGTTGATCTTTAAAATGCTATCTATTAAATATGATCAGCTATGTTTATTTGTTACTTGTTTAATGTTTCTATGGTGAACATAAATAAAAGAGTCCATATTATTTCACTATAATAACAGATTTTTCTTAAAACTACTCTGGGCGTTTTTAGGCAACATTGTTTTAAATCCTAGTAATTTCTTAATGAATAGTAAGAATTTCTTAAAGAAATCTTTTTCTTAATTATAAAAATAAAAACTTAGCCAAAACCGGTTTGGCTCAGGGGATAGAGCGTCAGCCTGCGGACTGAAAGGTCCCGGGTTCAATTCCAGTCAAGGGCATATACCTTGGTTGTGGGCACATCCCCGGTAGGGGGTGTGCAAGAGGCAGCTGATCAATGATCCTCTCTCATTGATGTTTCTAACTCTCTATCCCTCTCTCTTCCTTTCTGTAAAAAAATCAATAAAAAAAATATATATTAAAAATAAAAACTTAAAAATATTAAAATTATCCCATAGTTTCTTGGCCTAGAATTAGCCACTCTTACTTATTTTCTCTCCATGTTTATGCATGCACATATATGCAGGCTTTGTATATAATACTTGTACATAGTACTCATCAATTTCTACTCAGACTGTCAACACACACACACACACACACACACACACACACACACACGGTATTATAGTTTGCTTTTTTTTCCCCTATTCAACTCTTTCTGGAAAGTTTTTCAATATCTTTAAATTTTCTTCACAAATAGAGCTACTAAATGGCTTTATTCTTGTATTCCAATTAAGAACCATCTAAAGCAGAAGTTGACAAACTTTTTCTGAAAAGACTAGAAAGTAAATATTTCCGGTTTTAAAAGCTATATTGTTCTATTGCAACTACTCAGCTCTGCCTTTGATCAAAAAAGCAACCTTAAGCATTAAAAACAAACGAGCGTCACTGTTCCGGCAGTAACAACAGATATAGGCTATCACGTTTGCCAGTCCTTGAGCTAAAGACTTCTAAGCTTATTTTTTGTATTTTCCAGAAAAAAAGCGACAGTTTGAAATGAAAAGGAAGCTGCACTACAATGAAGGACTGAATATGAAATTAGCTAGGCAATTAATTTCAAAAGACCTACATGAAGATGATGAAGATGAAGAAATGTTAGAGAGTGCACTTGGAGAAAATATGAATATGGAAGACTCAAATCAAGGTTAGATGTTTAAGAAATATTCCTGAGACTCTTGTAATCCTTTGTGCCTAAGTAATAGACTTTATTTTGCTTTAAACTTGAAGAACCTCAGAATATTTTGCTGGCATTCAATTATGCTAAAAGTTTCTAAAACTTAAACACCTGTGACCAATCTCAAAATAATAAGGTTTTTATGCCCTGAGTTGGTTTAAGACCATATTTTATACTAGAGGCCTGCACCCTCTCCAATCTGGGACCCCTTGTCATCCCTCTCACAATCCAGGACTGCTGGCTCCCAACTGCTCACCTGTCTGCCTTCCTGATTGCCCCTAACCACTTCTGCCTGCCAGCCTGATCACCCCCTAGCAATTCCCCTGCCAGCCTGATTGATGCCTGTTTTCTGCTAGCCCGATTGCCCCCAACTGTCCTTCCCAGCCCACCCAGTCATCCTTAACTGCCCTCTCCTATCAGCCTCATTGCCCCTAACTGCTTTCCCCTGATGGTCTATTAACTCCCCCCCTCCCCCCCACCCCGCAACTGCCTTCCCCTGTAGGCCTGGTCACCTCTAACTGCTCTTTCCTGCAGGTGCAATTTGTATGATATGTTTTCAGTGTCCCTCCCAACTGCTTTTTCCTGCAGGCCTGGTCGCCCCCAACTTTCCTCCTCTGCTGGCCTGGTCACCCCTAACTGCCCTCCTCTGCAGGCCTGGTGCCTCCCAACTGCCCTCCCCTGCTGGCCTGATCACCCACAACTGCCCTCCCTTGCAGGCCTGGTGCCTCCCAACTGCCCTCCCCTGCTGGCTATCTTGTGTCCACATGGGGGCAGCCATCTTTGACCACACAGGGGCAGTCATCTTGTGTGTTGGAATGACAGTCAATTTGCATATTACTATTTTATTAGATAGTATAGAGGCCTGGTGTATGGGTGGGGACTGGCTGATTTGCCTTGAAGGCTGCCCCAGATCAGGGTAGTATTCCTTTGGGGCATGGGGCGGCCTAGGCGAGGGGCCTGTGGTGGTTTGCAGGCCAGCTATGCCCTCTGGTGACCCAAGCATAGGCCAAGGCTGGGTTTATTTATCTTCTATAATTGAAATTTTGTAGCCTTGAGCGGAGGCCAGGGCCGGTCAGGAAGCTTGGCTTCCTCCATCGCCAGGGGAAACCCAAACCTGCTTGCTGCAGCTCCATGGTGGCCACCATCTTAGTTGGGTTGATTTGCATACTCACTCTGATTAGCTGATGGGCATAGTGGGGTGATGGTCAATTTGCATGTTTCTCTTTTATTAGTGTAGATTACATGACTATGTATTTTGGTTTACTTGATTTTAAGCAATGATGTTTATCTTTTTATTAGGCTGTATTTTATTTTTAATGTTTTAGATCCTGTTTGATATTTCATAATTTAAAGTAAGGTTTAAGCTTTTTAAAAGAAGTTTTTAATGTGGAATATTTGTTTTAATAATCCCTTTGGGTGCAATTTGTATGATATGTTTTCAGTGTTGATTCTTTTGACTGTTGGATTGACAGGTTATTTGGCTAATTGTTTTTTTTTTATAAATCCTCACCTGAGGATATTTTTCCCGTTTTGTTTTTTTGGTTTGGTTTTGTTTTGTTTTGTTTTGTTTTGTTTTGTTTTTGAGAGAGAGAGAATGGAAGGGGGCAGAGGGAGATAGAGAAACATCATTTGTCTCTTGATTGGTCGCCTTTTGCATATGCTCTGAACGGGCTGGGAATGGAACCTACAACCCAGGTACATGCCCTTGACCCTTCAGTGCTCGGGCTGACCGGTCTAACCATTGAACAACATAGGCCAGGGCTTGTTTTGTTTTTTTAAGTCTCAGGCAATATGCCCCTACAGCCTACCAACTCTAGATTTTATTTATTTTTAACAAGTTGTTTTTTGATATTCCATGAAGGTGAATCTTCTACACCACTAATGTAGATGTTGTGCCTATTTACCTACCTTTTATAGTTGAAAACATGCTTTTCAGTGAACTTTATTTGTTGTGCTTTGGATGGCTAAGTCTTAGGAAAGTAAACTATTATATTGTTTTGCTGAGCATATGTGAAATATAAGTGATTCTGTGATAGAATCTGATAACTGTCACAATAAAAATATTATTACAATATTATTTGATATTCCATATTAGGCTTTATTTAGATTTTCATGTAGTTTGTTTTCTGTTTTATTTTTTAACTTTTATTTATTGATGTCAGAGAAATGGAGAGAGAGGGGAAAAAAACACCTCAATTTGTTGTCTCACTTATTTATGTATTCACTGATTGATTCCTGACCTAGTATCAAATCTGAAAACTTGGCATACCAGTTTGGTGCTCTAACCAACTGAGCTATCCAGTCAGGATGATACAGTTTACTTTATTCAACATTTCATTTCCAGTTTATACACTATATTCTGTTTGGCTTATATTTAACTTAAACAAACTTTATTTGGATAATTGTTATATATTTTTTAATTTATTACCCACTTTTAGTTGGCCTTTCTCCTAATTGACCTTTGTTTCCCATTTACCTATATCTTAGTGATTTATTTTGATGTATTAAAAATGAATGTTTCTTTGGTCACCAAGTTGACACTCCAGTTCTGCTCAGACTTTCAATATCAGTTCTTAATGACTCTGGTCAAACACTTACCTTATTTGCCCCTGGGAATTTGCACCAGCAACACTGTGTCAAAGGTTAAAGGGATTTCTTTTTTTAAAACCACAGCTTTTGAAAAGTAGCTCTTTTGGTCTCTCTAGTTGTAAGAAATTAGATTTCACACATACAGTACATAAATATATTTTATCATTTAAAGGCAGTTTAAATTTGTATTAGCTCAGTGCTTTGTTTTTCTTCAGTGGAGATGAAGTACTACTTACATAGGAATATATTCTATCTAGCTTCATAAAGTACACAAAGATAGAAAAGACTACAAAATAAAACAGAGAAGAAAGTTCCTTATTTATCCTCTACCCTTTTTTTGTTTAAAAAAAATATTAATCAGCTTTTACAATCTCCAGGTTTTATAGAACCCATTACTTTTTAGCATTATTCTTCTCCCTCTCCCCTGACCTCTGTTTTATTATTGTTTTTATTTTTTTAAATGGTATATTTAAAATCTGAAGAAATATTTTATAATTTTGATACCATAAACGCTAATCTTTTTATAGCTTTGGGTATTTGAGTTATAATTAACTCAGCTATCCACCTGTGCTTTACTCACAGAAATGTCAGTCTGAAACCTTTTTGTCTTGTCACCAAGTTGACATTCCAGTTCTGCTCTTTAGAATATTTAGGGGGTATGCAGATTCTTTCATATCAGACTATTTTACCTACATGAAATATACTATATTTGTTTTTTAAATCTTTTTATTTGTTAATCATCAATGGTAGTGGAAGGGAACTTTAGCTCAGGGAGTTCCTAGCTTGATAATATACAACAAATTATATTGATTGTTGTTGTTTTTTATCTTTGCAGGATCTACTACAGGTGACCAACTGCAAAACAAATCACAGAGTTCATAGAAGAGATTTGTTCAACACTCATTGTTGATACAACCCCTGTTACTATACTATACTGCTCTTGTTATCTACAATTCATGACTTAAGTACCAAAATGCATACCAATGTTGCCAAGAATTAAATAACTTTAGAGACTAATTAGACTTGAAAATGCCTAATTGATATATATATATATATATATTCATATATATATATATTATTGTGCCTAGTACTTCACCACAAATACAGCATAATATCATCAGTCCAAAACTGCATTACTTTTTTAAGAACACTGGTTAATTTGTATAAGATATTACATAGCTCTTTATGCTTTAGAGGTTAAATAATATCTTGGGAAGTGGGAGGGGACTTAATTTATTTTCTTCACTTCTAGATGTGATAGCTCATATAAAATTTTTTAAAGTAAAAATACAATTGGAACAACAGATTATATAGGCTGATAAATATTCAATCTGAAAAGTATTTTAACACATTTCAACTTGATTTTTCTCTTTAAATAAAAAAGATTACAAGAATTACTATTGCATTTTCTGGCCTACTACCTTTAAAATTCCTTTGAGTTTGTTTATGTTATTAGGGAAAGGATTAAACTTTTTCCTCATGAAAACTAGCTTTATTCACAAATAAATTATCAGGTTAAACTTGCACTAATGTCAGCTCTTCTTTTGTACACTTGATTGGAAGACTTCAGATCAGTTTTGTTTTTTTTTAACAAATATAATAATAGTATAGTTTCAGCATTCCCTTTATATGTCTGTCCTAACCACCTGCCTTTGTTTCCTACTCCTTTCCACATATATGCACACAGTAATCCTTCACCTTTATAAAGGACTAGAGGCCTGGTGCATGGATTTGTGCATCAGTGGAATCCCTTGGCTTGGCCTGCGGGGATTGGGCCAAACCAGCAGTCCGACATCCCCCAAGCGGTCTCAGATTGTGAGAGGGTGCAGCGGTGCACAAATCTGTGCACTGGCCTCTGGTATGCATATAAGATACTTGGTTAATCTCTTTTTGCCTTCCCCCCCTGTTCCTTCCCCTCTGAGATTCATTAGTCTTCCATGTTTTCTGTGTATTGAGCGTCTGCCTCCTGATGGTCAGTGTGCATCATAGCTACTAGTCAACCAGTCGACTGGTTGCCTAGGCTTTTATATATAGAGATCGTAAAGATTTCCATAATATTAGGAACTCTTCCTTCTCTCACATATTTTATTATTTGTTGCAACAATGAAAATCTTATTTTGACTATCAATGCCTTTTTTTTTTTAAATATATTTTATTGATTTTTCACAGAGAGGAAGAGAGAGGGACAGAGAGTTAGAAACATCGATGAGAGAGAATCATCGATCAGCTGCCTCTTGGACACCCCCCTACTGGGGATGTGCTCGCAACCAAGGCACATGCCTTCAACCAGAATCGAACCCAGGACCTTTTAGTCCGCAGGCAGACGTTCTATCCACTGAGCCAAACCGGTCCCGGCCAATGCCTTCTTTTTTCTTTCTTATAATATGTGGAGAAAATTGATTTAATAGCAGTACTATAGACAGGAAGTACAATGCAACTGCAGAACTTCTACACCGCTCTGATTTACAGCCTGCTAATTAATTTGCTATTACTAGTTTATTGTTTGACTTAAATAGACCTTAGGAAATAACTGAGGTTTTTTGTTTGCATGAGAGAATGGTATGTAACTAGTGATATGAAGATAGTTCTTAATGAACACTTTTTAATTTAAAATTTTACTCTCTGCTTTAAGGGAATATGATAATGTATACAATGACAAATGTATTTTATTCTTCTAACACAGATTGAGGTTTACCCCCCACCCTCCACCCCTGGAATGAAGTGCAGTTCTGTGTTTCTTGGTTTAATGATAGTTTTATTTTTATTCAATTATTTGTATCTTAATTTTTTGTTAGTGCTCAAATAATTCATTATATGAACAGACTTTTAAATAATTTCTGTATATTGTACATATTGTACGTGGCTTTTATTGAACAGCTTATCTTCCACTTACAAGTTTATGGAAATATCAATATGTCAAATAAATAAAAAGTGGGAGAGCCCTGGCCAGTGGTCAGTTGCTTGAGCGTCATCCAAAAGGTCACCTGGTTCAATTCCCAGTCAGGGCACATACCGAAATTACAGGTTCGATCTCTGGTGAGGGTACTTACGGGAGACAACTGATAAACGTTTCTCACATCAATGTTTCTCTCACTCTCTTTTCCTCTCTAAAAAATCAATAAAAACATTTTTTTTAAAAGTGGGAAAATTGTTTGCTGTTACAAGAATGTTATTTTGAATATCTTTCTAAGATAGAATCCAATCATAGCACTTCTGAACTTCAGGTATAGTATTCTAACTATAATATGTTAGCTAATAGTTGCACCAAACTATTTCTTGAAACTCAATCCCAGGCAAACTCATTTCTTATTTTTAAGAAATATAGACCCCTAGTGGTTTTGCTCAGTGGGTAGAGTGGCAGCCTGTGGACTGAAGGGTTCCGGGTTTGATTCCAGTCAAGGGCACATGCCTGGGTTGCAGGCTTGATCCCCAGTAGGGGGAGTGCAGATAGCAGCCAATCAATGATTTTCTCTCATTGATGCTTCTATCTATCTCTCCTGCCTTTCTCTCTAAAATCTATTTCAAAAAATACTAAAAAAAAAAAAAAAAAGGTAAGAAAAAAACGTAGATAGTTATCTCAGAGAAATAAGATAGCATGTCCAGTAGGATTTTGGAATTTGAATATAACTAAATAAAACGTTTTATCAAATCATGAGTTTCTAATTAACATGGTATTAGACTATATAAAAAATGAGCCTTTGTGATTCAAGTTAGATTTTCCCTTTGGAGAAAGTTACCTATCAATGTTCAGTTCCAGCTAAGGTAGATTTTACATTCAACTTTTTAATCAGTATTACTTCCTCAGCTTAACTCTTTTGGTGTCATCATTTCTACTCATTGTTTAGTCTGAAATTCAGCAGTGATGTTCTTGAAAATTTAATAATAAAATGGTGTAAATGGATTATTAAAGTAAGAATAAATTGAAGATTAAGGAGAAAAGCCATTTTTCCCTAGACTTATTTTGTTTACATTTTTCCTCTTAAATTGGTACACTAAATATATTTATATATAAAACCTTAATATGCAAATACACCGAATGGCCAAACAACCAGTCCCTATGATGTGCCCTGACCACCTGGGGTTGCTCAGAGATCATGGTGGGTGTCAGCCGTGGCAGGATGGTGGAGCAGGTGAGCAGGGGTGCCAGAATAAGGTGGGGCACCGGTCACCGTCACACCTCTGGTTCACTGAAAATTCTTTGCTCCCGCATGCCATGGTCCCGCCCAGCACTTGCACCTGCTGCTGGTGCTGGCCACACTCACACCCACTGCCTGCATCCAGCACCGACACCTCAGTGGGTGCGAGCAGAGGCTGCCAGCCCCTATCATCCCTCAGAGCTTCTCTACCTCCCCGAGGGGTGATCAGAGCCAACAGCCACCTCTCACACCCACTGTTGGCAATGAAGCCACTGCTCACACCCACTGCTGGCACCAGCTCCACTTGCACCCACTGCTGGTGCCCGGCACCTGTCCTTATTTCCCCTGAGGGCTTTTCTACCTCCCCCTATTCCTGCAGGGCAATTGAGGCAGCAGCTACCACTCACACCCACTGATGGCGCTGGCCCTGCTCTCTGCACCACCAGCATGTGGGAGTGGCATCGGCGGGAGGAGGGCTTCTGACTGACAGGGGACCTGGGCTCTCCATGGGAGAGACTGAGTGGGTTAAAGGATAGGCTGAGACTTGCCCCTGTGCCCACTGCAGCCTTGCAGCCCACAGTTCCTTTCAAGGTGCATGAATTCATACACTGGGCCCCTAGTATTATAATAAAGTACAGTGATTGACAATTGCCTGTCTGTGGATTTTACTTTTTTTACTACTCGGCTATCTCAGGATCATGCTCCATTGGCCAAGTGTTCTGGATAACAGGAGAGGATTTTGGATTACATTGTGTAGGGTAGTTTGTTTAATTGTGATATAGAATATTAATAGATACTATTTATTGGGAGCCTTTTATTTGCTCTTGCCCAGCATTTTGCTAACTTTAATATAATCACACCAACCATGTAAAGTAGTTATTCCTTTTTTTAAATAGATTTTTATTGATTGATTTGAGAGAGAAAACATCTAATTGCTATTTTACTTATATATGCACTAGAGGCCCAGTGCACAAAATTTAGGGGGGTGGGGGGAGGACGGCTGTGTTCCTCAGCCCAGCCTACATCCTCTCCAATCTGGGACTCCTTGAGGGATATCTGACTGCCCTCTCACAACCCAGGACTGCTGGCTCCCAACCACTCGCTTGCCTGCCTGCCTGCCTGCCTGATTGCTTCTACCTGCCAACCTGATCCCCTTCTAATTGCTTCTACCTGCCAACATGATCACCCACTAACCACCCCCCTGCCAACCTGATCAATTCCTAACTGCTCCCCTGCTGGCCCAATTGCCCCTAACTGCCCTCTCCTGCCAGCCTGGTTGCCCCTAACTGCCCTCCCCTGCAAGCCTGGTCATCCCCAATTGCCCTCCCCAGCAGGCTTGGTTGCCCCCAACTGCCCTTCTTTGCCAGCCAAGTCACCCCCCAACTGCCCTCTGCTGGCCTGGTCACCAGTAACTGCCCTCTCCTGCCAGCCCAGTCACCCTTAATTGCCTTCTGCTAGTCCCATCACCCCTAACTTTCCTCCCCTGCAGGCCTGGTCGCCCACAACTGCCCTCCCCTGCTGGCCATTTTTTGGTGTCCATCTTGTGTCCACATGAGGACAGCCATTTTTGACCACATGGGGGCAGCCTTCTTGTGTGTGTGAGCGATGGTCAGTTTGCATATTACCTCTTTATTAGATAGGATTCTTTGGTTTATTTTTGGATATACCCTGACTGGGATCAAACTGTCAACTTTGGCATATTGGACGATGTTCTAACCAAATGAGCTACCCAGCCAAGGCAAGTAG